TTATAAAGCTAGTCTCTCAATCCCACTCAATACCTTTTGGCCTGAACAGCAGGCATTTTCTGTTCTCTTTAATTTGCATATGTGTGTCCATTTTTCTACCCACAGTGACACCGGATATTCAAAGAAGGTTTCCCTGTACTTTTACTCAAATGTGAAATGGTACTCAGGATATAAGAGGGTAATTGCAGCAATTCATATTTTTTTCATATTATTCCACTGCCCTAAAACCCAAACGAGGCTCCCTATGTCCTCTGCTTTAAAAGCTGACACATTATCATGCTCTGCTTTGCCCTACTCTCAAATGCTTCATCCAGTGAAAACTTGCAGAGGAAATTCGCGAGCCAGCTGTAATCATCCTGGGGTAACGCAAACGGTATGGAGCAGCACATTAATCATCACAACGGCAGGATTCTTATAGTTAGCACAAAAAGAAGGTGAATTTTAAGGTCTAAGTGTGCTCAGGTAGGATCTACACTCCTTTAAATATTAAATTCTGGTTTTTGTTCCTATCACTCTGTTGCACAGAATTTCCATTTCTGTAGCATAAAATAGCTCGATGATGACTTTTCAAGCTAGGTTTTATGTCACGTTAGAGAATTTGTCAATCTAGAAATTTTGACAGAATTCTCTACTCCTGAACACATCTTCATCCTATTCATAAAACAGGATCATGAAACGCATCCTTCATGTGAGTTTCAAAAGTTTCAAAATAATGGTATGTGACACTGTATTTGAAATTAACATGCAACTGAATGTTTTATCATGCTATCCTCAATCCAATGTCTTTGAATTTCTTTAAAAAAGTTTTTCTGTCATTAAGTGTTTCATTTTTAAGGAATAAAAGTATTGTTTTTTTCAACTTGGCAAGTATCCTGCATAAAACTGCCTTAAAAACCAGTAACAGCAGACCCTGGATAGGGACGGAAGCTCCAAATTGGAACCTCCATGGAATTCATCTGTACATATTTTGATATTTATTTTCAAGCAAGAAGCAAGACCAGTAAGAAAGTGAGGGCGGGAAAACCACCTCTCCTCATGGTGTAGTTCTCTTAATAAGAGGACTGCTAGAGTCTTGCTAGATGATGTTTCCAGGAAGGGTGTGTGTGTGTGTGTGTGTGTGTGTGTGTGTGTGTGTGTGTGTGTGATCAGTTAGTGAACATTCCCATAGCTACTGTTCATCGCTACAAAACAGCCCATACGTAGAACCACCTGCTGGCTCATTCCTGGACAGCAACACATAAAATCATGGAGCGAATTTTAAACTAATGTGAACTTATGAAAGGATGTCAGGGGAATCTGACTCTCAAAACGATTCAAGCTAAGAGATCTTCATGAGAAAAAATTTTACAGTGGGGATGATAATCATGATTGTTGTTATTGCTTCTTACCTCCAAAATGCACCCAAATGGTGGAAAAATACTTGTACACATTATTAAAAATTCACTGGCTTGGTATATTAAAAGAATTCTTATAAAAGATTAATTAGGAAGTCCAATAACCCAATCGAAAAATATGCAAAGGCTATAAAGACAAAAGAAATATGAATGGCTAAGAAATGTGAAAATATGCTTAACTTCATTCATAATTATAAAAAAAGGAAATTAAAAACAAGATACCCCTTATCTCAAAAATAAACTGGAAATAAAATAAGAGCTTGACATTCATTCCTTAATGGTGACAGATAGGATTACAGCAACTCTCACACATTACTGAGTAAGTATACATTTCACTTAATCTTAGAGGGCAGTATGGTAACACTTAGCAAACTTTAAATTCCCACATTTGTTAACTGAATTTCATTTAAATTCCACTGCTAGAAAGTTTCTCTATATAAATTTGCATAAGCATACAAAATATGTGTAGAGGACAATTTATAATAGTGAAAAACTGGACAAACTAAATGTCTCTCCTGGGAGAGTCTAGTTAAATAAATTACTAAACAAAGTATAGTACATAACTCCATCAATCATTACATATTCACAGAATGGAATGGTTTTGTGGCTGTTCAGAAGAATGCAAACAATCTCTATACACTGACATGGGAAGATACCTAAGATACATTGTCAAATTGAAAATTAAAGAGCCACAGATTATTCATATTGTAATTCCACTGGTATAAAATATATATATATATATATATATATAATTGCTGTAAAAACTAATTTCCCATAAGAGACATACAGCAGCTCCTTCTGAGGAGGTGGCATCAAAAGGAAGGGTCTAATAGGAGGTTTTAAATGACTTCTGACTTCCTGTAGATTTCTATTGTATTTTAACACAATAATTCTGTTGTTCTACAATAACTTGTAAAAATCTTCCTCCTACTACTGCCAAAGCATGAATTGTGGAATCTGCAAAAAATGAGACATCATGCTTTCATGTCCGGCTTAATTCTGAGGCTCTTGAGAGGTACAGGGAGGAAGGGAGGGACGATGGCAGCGCAGCCTGGGAAAAGCAAGTTTGAAAAGGCTTCACTGCATAAAGCATGAGTCCACTGAGCTGAATGCTTTCCTCAAATGGAGCAACAGAGCAACTTGATTAATTTCTACCAGCCAGAGGTTAAGCCTAGTTTTATCTCCATGCCCCTATATCTAATTCTGTGAATGCCAGCCAACTTCCCTGCTGCTGTAGGTGGGAAAATGGCCCAAAGGTGGCTGGGCGTGATGGCTCATGCCTGTGATCTTAGCACTTTGGGAGGCCAAGGTAGGAGGACTGTCTGAGCTCAGGAGTTCAAGACCAGCCTGGACAACATGGCAAAACCCCACCTCTACCAAAAATACAAAAAATTAGCCAGGCATGGTGGTGGGTTCCTGTAATCCTAGCTATAGGGGAGGCTGAGGCATGGGAATCACTTGAACCTGGAGCCAAGATCGCACCACTGCACTCCAGGCTGCGCAACAGAGCAAGACTCTGTCTCAATTTAAAAAAAAAAAAAAAAAAGGCCCAAAGACTTCCAAGTCCTCGTACGTTACGTTACATGGCAACAGAAAATTAAGGTTGCAAATGAAATTGAGTTTGCTAATCGGCTGATCTTAAAACAGGGAGATTTTCCTAGATTACCTGCATGAGTTCCATGTAATCACAAGGGGCCTTACAAGGGGAAGACGGAGGCAGAATAGGGAACTGAGAGGGAAATGGGCCTACAGAAGCAGCGTCAATGAGGTGCAATGCTGTTGGCTCTGAAGATGGAGCAATGGGCCCAAGCCAAGGAATGCAGGCAGCCTCCAGAAGCTAGGAATGCCAAGGAAACAGATTCTACCCTAGAGCATCCAGAAAGCAACACAGCCCTGCTAACACCTTGAGTTTAGTCCACTGAGACCTGTGTGGGACTTCTAACCAATAGAACTGTAAGAGAATACATTTGTTGGGGGGAGGGGGTGTTAAAAAAAAGGAGAGAGAATACATTTGTGGTAATTTGTTCCAGCAGCACTAGGAAGCTAACATGACCTACTTATATTTCCTTTATTTCTGTATACAAACGCACAGACTTCCTCTGGTGCACAAACCTGGGGTGTGCTGTGAAAATCAGCTACCTGGGCTTCCCACCTGTGGATGCTCACTGATCAGGGACCACACCAGGTGATTTTGGGACTTCCTCAGAGAAAACCCAGACAAAACACCAGCAACAGAACTACCTTGATGATGATTAACTTAGCTCTATGTGGAGAAGTCATATTTGAATAAGTTACTAGCGGAAGTCCTTTGTAAACCATACGCCATTGACGGTCAATAATTTATATCCAGACTACTCCTTTGGAAGACAAAAGAGAAATGAATCTCACTTAGCCCAGAATAGCATGACAACACATGTTCTTAAGTGTTTCCCAACACATTTCATATCTACAAATAAAGATAAGCTAGGTCGGCCAAAGAACAATTCTAATAAGGACTTACTATTGAGTGCCAGGCATTGGGCTGGACACTGGAGATACAGGATCTCATATAGTGTTCACAGCATTTCCATTAGGAAACACCATTATTACAACCATTAATCATGCACGTGCTTACATTCTTACAGGGAATAACTGAAGGAGCTTGGGTTCAAAGTGCTTTGTCAGACTCCACAGCTGGGGCTCCAGAGAGGCATCATGCCAATCCCATCCCCCATCATGAAACAGCTTACAGAGACCAAAATGCTGAAGTGAAAAAAGCTTATTGACTTCATCCTCACCAACCTAGAAATGCAATAATTTAAAGGGCACCTCCCCAAAACAACCCTGGGACTTGGAAATTTTTAACTCACTTAACAGCAAATTATCAAAAACAGAATCTCTTGTTTTCACTATGATTTTGTATCTTATGTCCAAACAACTGATTGCTTCTTCAAGGAACTTGTATTCTCAGATGATAGAAACAAAAAGCTGGCTTTTGTGAGGCAGGGACTCTAGCTTATAAAGGCTTCTCATCAGCCCTAGTCAGTGACCGTCACGAACACCTGCTCCTCATGTCTGCAGGGCAGGAGAGTCCCCACTCATCTCTGAGAACCACTGATCCAGCAGAGCAGCATCTAAAATGGGCAAGGATTTTCCCACTGTGGGAATTTCTACATAATATTTCATTCTAAATAAAGGTTTTAGCACTACAAATTCATCATAATGGAATTTTTAATTAATTTATTTATTTTTTGAGACAGAGTCTCGCTCTGTTGCCAGGTGCCAGACTGGAGTGCAGTGGCGCGATCTCGGCTCCCCGCAACCTCTGCCTCCTGGGTTCAAGCAATTTTCCTGCCTCAGCCTCCAAAGTAGCTGGGCCTACAGGCGTGCGCCACCACACCCAGCTAATTTTTGTATTTTTAGTAGAGACGGGGTTTCACCATGTTGGCCAGGATGGTCTCAATCTCTTGACCTCGTGATCTGCCTGCCTCGGACTCCCAAAGTGCTGGGATTACAGGCGTGAGCCACCACACCCGGTCGGAATTTTTAAAAGGCAGGTAAACCTAAGTGTAAGTCCCTCTTGCTTCCATTTCTTTTCTCAATTCAATACATGAAATCAGTATCAATCAACTATAAGAAAAGTTCACATCCTTCAAAGGAGTAGTTTTCTCCTTGAATTACATCATATCTATATATATCTAAATATATAGATATTTAAAGTCAGAACTACAAGCTGGCTCTGTATTTTAGTACATAAGCTAGTAAAAAGAAGATATCTGGAATCTGAAACATTTTCCAAAAGATAATATCATTCATGGGGTTTCCAGAGTAAACTACAAAGCTATATTAAACTCATAATGTGAGCTAAATATATTTGCTGTAAATAAAGATTTGATCCTCTTACAATATTAATTTTTAAATAACAAAGTTATACATATTTCTTTTTTTCTTTTCTTTTCAAGAAAAGCAATTCTAATGACATGATCAAGAAAAATGTGAACGGAGATTTGGAGCAATCTAAAGAGCATTCCCATGGTTTGAAAGATTGACACACTGTTCTCAACTGCATTTAAGTTCATTTTCTAAAAAGTTACGGTTTCCTTCTCCTTAGCAAGGCTGGACGTCCACCACTCTTGTCATACTTTTTAGTAATGTGGTCATTTAATGGGACCACTAGGGCCAACAGAGAGAACCTTATGTGACATGAGGACAGTCCAGCGCAGGCCTAGCTGGCTTTGGATGGTGAATGACAGAGAAACAGGCAGAGATTGGGAGAGACGGGAACACACTGTCATCTGAGAGAGAGAAAGGACAGTGGTAACAGGGCACCACGTGACACCCGGCTACATGGGCACCTGATGGACTCCACTGTCCTGGCCCGGGCTGCTCCAGTATCTTTAGGGGTGAGGAAGGCCATGGTCCCAGGATGCCTGGGGACAGATGGACAGCCAAACAGCTGCTGGTACAGTACTGTCAAGTATTACAGAACAGCGATTTGAGCCCTACATCCGTAAGAACTAAAAAACACTGCCAGGACTTACAGGCAGTTCTATGGCTCACTCACTTGCTCTGTTTCTCACGCGCGCGCGCGCGCACACACACACACACACACACACACACACGGTCTTTCTCTCTCTACTGTCTCCCTAGTTGCTCACATGCGTCATCATTACCAAAAAAACTTTTAAATTTACAATTATTATTTTGCACACAGTAAGCCCCTGCAAAGCACAGAGCCATAAGCCATCTACAAAACTCAATTCGAAATACAAAAGGGATACAAGAACTCATCCATTCACTCAGCCAAAGCCCAAAGTAGATGTGAGAAATATTTTACTCTTTTCTTCCATAACATTCTTTCCCCAAGATCATAAATCTCTGCGCGTTGACTTTCTATCTTCAGAAAGTGAGCGTCATCAGGACTAGAAAATAAATCACTTTCAGGGTAGTCATTCATCTTGGGCAAATAAAAATATAAGCCAGGCAGATGGTGAAAAGCTCATTTATACTGGTATAATTTCATAGAACTAGGCTAGTGAGAAGGAAGCAGAGGGGAACTGTGAGATTTAGGGCCAGTTTAGAGGGTGAGGCTCAATACCCCCAATAACAAAATGCTAAAATTTTTCATCCATCGCTACAATCTCTTCAACTCTTCACCTCTGGTTCAGATCTGCCTTTTTTCCTTTGTGGCAACAGAAATGAATGGAAAAGAGAAAAGGGGAAGGAGGACGGAAAATTCAGACAAAACACTGCAGTGCCTAAAGCCCTTTTCATTCACCAGTTTCAAAGCGCCCAATCCTTTGAGTACTGCCGCAGGACAGGAGAGATTATACCGCTTGGTGCTGGGTTTTTTCATACGTCTCCAGCTCACAGTTGGCAAATCCAAGGTGGCTACCCCCCAGCATTCTGGCAGGCGTTGATGTCACAAAGCCTCACCAGCCGGGCAGGGAGGTGGGAGAAGGCAGGCAACATGGTGAACACTCCTAAGGCCGTTCTCGAAGACTCTCTCAGTACAGTGTCGAACCCCACTAAAAGCCCCAGCACATATCCTACTGGCCACAGAAAGGCATGATTTGGGACCTTCCACTACACTCCTCTCCTCTCTTATAAAAGCAACACCCGGCCAGGCGTGGTGGCTCACGCCTGTAATCCCAACACTTTGCAAGGCCAAGGCGGGTGGATCACAAAGTCAGGAGTTTGAGACCAGCCTGGCCAAAATGGCAAAACCCCGTCTCTACTAAAAGTACAAAAATTAGTCGAGTGTGGTGGCACACGCCTGTAATCTCAGCTACTTGGGAGGCTGAGGCAGGAGAATCGCTTGAACCTGGGAGGCGGAGGTTTGCAGCGAGCCAAGATTGCACCACTGCACTTCAGCCTGGGCAACAGAGCAAGACTCCATCTTAAATAAATAAAAGAAAAATAAAAGCAACACCCAGCCAAGAAGCAAAACCTTATTGTTGCCCACCAAAAAGGAGGAGACGAAGAGAAAAGCAATGGAGGAAAGAAAAACTTCTTGAAAAACAAGCATAAACCGAAATTAATCCCCTAAAATACACAGAAAAATATACTATCATGCCTTGCACTCAGAGAGCTCATGAAACTGTCAGAAACCAAGTCCAACAAGTTTTTTTTAAATGTGTGCAGGGCTTAGGTTTGTGTGTGATGATTACATTGTGACTTGCTAAGAACCAGAAGAAAGAGAGCAAAAAGATGCTATTTTGCAAGGCAGACAGCAGCTCCTAACCATAGGAGGCAGTATAGCCTAACAGAGAACCACAGAAGCACATCTTTAAATTCCATGTCATCCCACACATGGTCATCTCTACTGCTGCAGGCCACAGGTAGACCCACAGCCACACAGCACCAGGACCTACACAGTTTTAGGGTACTAACCTTGGAAACATCACTTGGCTAAGAGACAGGTGGCTCGCACCTGTTCTAATCTTGCTTCTAATCTCCAGTTACACAGAACAATTATAACATTATGAAACATGTACAGAGCTAATAAACTGGGTTATGAAAATCTGCTAAACTAAGGAAAGGCTCCATTCAATGCCCACTGTATAATAGGAGCTCAATTAATATCTGCTGAGTGAATAAAATTATTGCATAGATGAATAATCACCGTCTTACTCTACCGGAACACAGAACAAATGAATGAGGAAGCAGGAAATTTTTAAGCATAACAACAGTCTGGGCTGGGAACGGTGGCTCACACTTGTAATCCCAGCACTCTGGGAGGCTGCGGCAGGCGGATCACGAGGTCAGGAGTTCAACCAATATGGTGAGACCCTCTCTCTACTAAAAATACAAAAATTAGCCAGGCGTGGTGGTACGTGACTGTAGTCCCAGCTACTCAGGAGGCTGAGGCAGAAGAATTGCTCAAACCCGGGAGGTGGAGGCTGCAGTGAGCCGAGATCGCACCACTGCACTCCAGTCTGGGCGACAAAGCGAGACTCCATCTCAAAAAAATAAATAAAAAGAACCGTCTGACTGTTTCTGATTTTTCGTGAGTCCTGAGGGTCTGATGGCTAGGAGGCATATCTTCTACATTTGCCTGAAGGATGAATTACTTTCCCTCCAGACCAACAACAGCCAGAAGAGATTAAAAAAACATCTGGGTGATCAAATCATTGCTCATTCCTTTAGTGTCAGGATCTAAATGGAATGTCTTTGGCAGCCCTTCTAAAAGGTTATCATCAGAATTCTATCCCATGTGCAGGGACCCTCTCATACAGAAAAATAATTCCACATATAACTACAACCATTTAGCACCTATTAGATACCTGATCAAGGCCACTGGTGAGGAATAGACCAATTAATAGAAGGATCTTCTGCCTGGAGAGCTCCAGGACCCTGGCCATTGTGGAATCTTTCAGCATAGCAGCCTATGTAAGTCAAATGCCACTCAACAGGTTAAACTTACTTCTACTGGAACTCCCGGAAGCCACAGGGAAGAGCACAGAACAGAAATGAGAACAAGGGGGAAAGCACGCCTGCGGTCACGGACACTGCCAACAAACCTCATCGTTGACATTCATTCATTCAACACTTGGAGTATCTACTACGTGCACTGTACTTTCCTAAATACTCTGGAGTTTCCAGAGAAGAATCACACGTGGTGTCTTCCCTCAAAGAATTAGGTCTATGAGATGAAACAGCCAAGTTAGAAAAGCCTTGTGGGGCTGCATGAAGAAAGCCTACTTGGGGAAGATCAGGGGTATAGAAGACACAATCTATTACTACCCAAAAGCCAATACCCTCTTTTCCCTTGCTGACAAAAACCCAATTCTGGTCTCTCTAGGATCTGAGGTCCCTTTGATCTCAGGTAAGGCACACTCCACAGCTGGGGAGGGTGACTCGTGAAACCAGTGACCAGATATGGGTCTTGGAGTGGGTGTGTGATCTAGCTCTGGCTATGAGATAATAAGGGGAGTGTACTAAGGGGCTTCCCTTCCCAAATAAAAAGTGTCTTTTTTTTCTTTTTTTTTTTGAGATGGAATCTCACTCTGTTGCCAGGCTGGAGTGCAGTAGAGTGGCGTGATCTCGGCTCACCACAACCTCTGCCTCCTGGGTTCAAGCCATTCTCCTGCCCCAGCCTCCTGGGTTCAAGCCATTCTCCTGCCTCAGCCTCCTGAGTAGCTGGGACCACAGGCACCGGCCATCACACCCAGCTAATTTTTGTGTTATTAGTAGAGACGGGATTTCACCATGTTGGCCAGGATGGTCTCCATCTCCTGACCTTGTGATCTGCCCACCTCGGCCTCCCCAAGTGCTGGGATTATGGTTGTGAGCCACCATGCCCGGCCTCGAAAAGTGTCTTCAGAAGAGCTCCCATCCTTCCTTCTAAAGGTTATGTTGTGAGGATGCAATATTTGGGACTACAGCTATGATGCCACCACCCTGGAATAACAAGCACAAGGATAAACAGAAGGAGGGATGGAAGAAACTTGTATCTTTGAGGCCATCATGAGTTGGTGCACCAGACCAGGAACCACCTACTCCCAGAATTCTTTTGTGCAAAAATTTATTACTATTATTCTTTCTGAGATAGGATGTCACTCTGTCACCCAGGTTTGAATGCAGTGATGTGATCACAGCTCACTGCAGCCTCAACCTCCCAGGCTCAAGCAATCCTCCCACTTCAGCCTCCCCAGTAGCTGGGACTGTAGGCATGTACCCTCATAGCCTGGCTAATTTTTATATTTTTTTGTAGAGACAGGGTCTGTGTTGTCCAGGTTGGTCGTGAAATCCTGGCCTCAAGTGATCCTCCCGCTTTGACCTCCTAAAATGCTGGGACTACAGGCATGAGCCACCATGCCCAGGCTCAAATTTATTACTGTTTGAGCTATTAATTGTAGGGTTTGCTGTTATCTGCATCTTAAGGAATCCTACCCAGTACAGGAGCTGGTGTAGCATGAAGGAAAGAGCACTGGCTTGTGAGAAACAAAGTCTAGTATCAATTTTGTGTCAAACTAAGTTGTGTGACACGTGGCAAGTTCAACAACCACTCCAGTTTGGGGAGCGGCCATTTGACTTTTAAAGCCTTTTCTAAGATTTAGTGAATCAATCATGAGTCAAAGGAAAAAAAAAAAGTCTATTCTACAGATTTTCTTGGAAGGAGATGTAGTCTGTTTGATGATGAGAGATGAGGAGTGGAGTGGGGAAGGATAATCCTATCACCCACAAAATTTACTTGTAACAAACTTTAAACTTGATCAGTGATATTTCCTCTGCTGCAAGCATTTGGAATTAAACTCTGTGAGCTTATCACAGGATTCAGTAAAGTGACTTTCAATCACTATAAGCCAGTAATAGCTGCCTCACTCCTGAAACTGTTGACCACAAATAAATATGTGCCACATGTTTCAAAAAAACTTATAGGATTGAAACTTTAAAAAAATTATTTGAAGGATCAAAACAACATATTAACCTTGCTCATCTCTAAAAATTACCACCATCCCACACCTGATACATCTTCAACCAACATCTTCCTATACATTTAGGTATCGTGGGGACGAAAAATTAAAAAATGATAAAAGTGTGTTGAGGGGTGTGTGCTGGCCAGCCTTCAAGCTGAACATCAGAGGATTTCAAATTGACAGCTTTATGTGTTGTCAAGTAGTTCCAAAGTTCAGTGCCAAAATGACGATTCAACCAGGACGCTGAAAATTCCTGATGCGGAAGTCAGATAAATCTTTTATATCACTCTCCTCCTTTTATTCTTAAAACAATTTTTCTTCCTTTGGGAAGGGAAGATTAGGACAGATTTACTTGAAAATTCAATTACGCAATTTTTTAACCAAAGTCCACTTAGCTAACTCATATGCTGATACAGCACCAAGCACATAGAGATACTATAAGTTTTTCTATACTTCCCAGATTTGTGGGGTACAGGGTATGTGGTCTCTTGATAGCACTGTTACCACTGTAATCCAGACAACTAACGAGGCAAAGCTGCTAACTGGGACAGTCAACACGGGTTGACAGAAGTTGATGGTTTGCCCTTGAGGAACAGGCTTAGAAACCCTCTGTTTACGGTCTCCAGGGGCAGGGCTGACAGTCCTGATTGTCCTAAGGCCAGGGGCAGGTATCTGGGCACCAGATATTTACCTCAAATAATTAACACAACATTATTTTTCATTGCTCCCCCTTTCCACCTTACCCATAAAAAACATAAGCAAGTTTTTAAAGTTTACCAAATGCTCTTCAACTAGTGAATGGATAAAGAAACTGCAGATCCCACGGATACTATTCCATGCAAAAGGAATGCGTTAGTATGATTCACGTAACATGGATGAATCTCAAATGCATGACGCTGTGTGAAAGAAGCCCTACTCAAAAGGCTATATCCTGCATTTATATGACATTCCGGGAAAGACAAAACTATAGGGACAGATACTAGATCAGTGGTTGCCAAGGGCTGGGGGCAGATTTGACCATAAAGGGACATGAGAGAATTCAGGGCAACAGAACTGTTCTATACAGGTTGTGTATTCCTCACCTGAAATGCCTGGAAGCAGAAATGTTTTGGATTTTGAATTTTCTTCAATGGATTTTCTTCAACATACCACTTGGGCATCCCAAATCCAAAAATCTGAAATCCAAAATACTCCAAGGAGCATTTCCTTTGAGTGTCATGTCAGCCTTTAAAAAGTTTCGGATTTGAGGGCATTTTAGATTATTTAAATGTAGGATTAGGGATACTACTTTGATTCGTTAAAACTAAGAACCTTGCATTTCAAAATGGTGAATTATGTTGTTTGTGAATTACGCCTCAATAAGCCTGAGTTTTAAGAAAACAGTTAAGGTTCTGTCGCTCAGATATGTCCTCTGGAAGGTAGGTGTGCATGGTCACGTGTGAGCTCTGTCATTCAGGATGGGTCTCCTCATCGCCCTGGGCTCTCCTGTGCCCAGAGCCCAACCAGACACAGGAGTGCAGAAAACAGAAACCACTCCAGGTGTTGCAGTCAGAAAGGAATTTGATATGGGAGTTAGCTGCCTGTAAAACTATTAAGAAGACTGGAGGAGCAGACATCGGGAACCCCTTAGATTTTTTTTTTTTTTTTTTTTTTTTTTTTTTAGACAGAGTTTCACTCTTGTTGCCTAGGCTGGGGTACAATGGCATGATCTCAGCTCACTGCAACTTCTGCCTCCTGGGTTCAAGTGATTCTCCGGCCGCAACCTCCCAAGTACCTGGGATTATCGGCATGCGCCACCACACCTGGCTAATTTTGTATTTTTAGTAGATACGGCGTTTCACCATGTTGGTCAGGCTGGTCTCGAACTCCTGACTTCAGGTGATCCACCTGCCTTGGCCTCCCAAAGTGCTGGGATTACAGGCGGGAGCCACTGCACCCAGCCTAGACTTTTAAATTCAAGGTCACAACATTGTAGGTGGCTGTGATTCAGAGGCCAAGAAGCTGCTGCTGTTGTCGCAACAGATTCCCACGCCCAGGGAGGTGAGACTAAGGCCCAGAACGATGAGCGTGGCCACCACAACTGCCTTTAAACACTCCGACCTCCATGCCACTGCCTGCCAGCAGCACAAGCAGGAGGAACTTGGTCTTCCAAATCTCAACAAATGCATCTCATTGTTATGTGTTCAGGAATCAGACTGTAAGAAAGTCTGGGACATGCAGCTGTTAGGTTTCCAATCTCTCCAACCAAGGAAGCGGAAAGAACGTCAAGAGAGCTTGGTCCGCAGTATCCACTCCAGTCACAGTCCTTCCTGTCCTAAAGCAATGCATGACGAAGCGGCACGCTGGAAACCTTTCTCCATCTAGCCTTACATTTCAGATGGTGCTGGAGAGTTGAAAAATTGTTCTACTAATAGGTAAAACCAAGATCCTACCTCATTTCATTATGGAAGAATATTTCATTTTCACATTTAGTTAGCTCTTGCCCCAGCAGAATAAGATTTTAAGCCACATTTTACAACAGAGCCCACCACAGCTCTCTAACTCATGTAGTAAATACATACTGCTCTTTGAGCCTTCATTCTGCTGGGAATTAAACAGACTAAGCTTCAAAATGCATTCTTGTTTCAGATGTAGGTTATTTTATGGGAAGCCAGAACCAGCAGAGGGCAGGTACCTTTGGTATCCTGCTTACCCCGCCAAAGACCTGATATACTCTAAACACTAAACCAGAAGACAATAGTTAATTTAACTAAAAAAAAGTTTCGGATTTGAGGGCATTTCAGATTTCGAATGTAGGATTAGGGATGCTACTAATAGTGTCCCTAATAAGGACCACAATAACCACACTTCTGAAAGTTACCTTCCCAATGACCACTCACACAACTAACTATATTCTCTAGATGAAAAGGATTAAGGACCTGCTCCTAAGGCATTCTTGGCCTTTACGAATTTCACTTCATTCTATGTAGCGTTATTCCTCCACGTTGTACAGAAAGGAGGCAATAGCAACATTTTTTTTTTTCTGAAGAAAAACTATTGTGTGGATGTCACTATTTCTTTAACTATTAAGACAAAAAATGTGACAAAGCGCAATGGCCTAAGAACAAAAACAGTGTCCAAGCTATACTAGCTGTTTGGGTTTTGAAAATCATCTGCCAGAGAACTCACTGGAAAAAATGAGGGGAGGCTTTGCAAAAGAATTCTAATTTGCCCGTCTCTGAAAACCACCAAAACACCAACCTGCCCCATAAAGTTCTCACTGCTACAAGGGATCAAACAAAATCTTATCTTGCTCTAATTTTAATTCCAAACAATTAAGGGCAAAATGACAACTAGAAATTAATGACTGTCCCTAACTTAACGAAAAAAGCTCTGGCCAGTTCTTCTTCTTCAGGATATATTTTTTCTAAGTTGAACTTGGGAGTTACTTATTTATTTATTTTTGAGACACAGTCTAACTCTGTCACCCAGGCTGGAGTGCAATGGCACAATCTTGGCTCACTGCAACCTCCTTCTCCCGGGTTCAAGTGATTCTCCTGCCTCAGCCTCCTGAGAAGCTGGGATTACAGGTGTATGCTACCACACCCGGCTAATTTTTGTATCTTTAGTAGAAACAGGGTTTCACCACGTTGGGTAGGCTGGTCTCAAACTCTTGACCTCATGATCCGCCTGCCTCGGCCTCCAAAAGTACTGAGATTACAGGCATGAGCCACCACGCTCAGCCAGGAATGAGTTATTTCTTACAGACAATCATATACTATATTTTTGCCAATGCTACTGACTGGTAAGGCAAAGTGGGCAACAGTTTTGTGTAAAAACAACAGACCTGGCCTCAAACCTTGGGGTCAGAGGGAGCACCTATCAGAAAAACACTAAGAGGATTTACAAAGTCAGAAATAGCACAAGCCCTAATAAGTAAGTTAATTACGTGATAGCCCCAGTTAGGTTTTGCCCAAGAATGCTCCTAGAAGGAAGGAACCAAAAAATGATTACTAAAGTTCTAATAACTCACTTCTCTACTGCTTACACAGTCGCCAACTTACCTTCTAATTCACCTACACGTCAGCTGCAAGTGTTTCTTGACCCTGAAGCTCTTTGTACCTCCAGGGTAAATGGCTTTCAAAAATCCACAGCCACTATTCACTTCAGACCCTGCTGACACCCCTTAAAGGTGCCAATGACATTATTTGTAGGCAGGCTAATCTGACTTTATAAGAGCTATGCTACTAAATCACTGTCAAAGAATATAATCCTATGCTGCTTGGAGAAAAATTTCCATTGATAACCAAGACCATTTGATCAAAGAGGCTGCCTTGGGGCTTTCAACCTTATCAAATAGATCTTGCGAGTGTTCTACAATTTTCAGGCTAAAACGATTTCAATTGAAATTAAGAACAACCTCTAACTCGTGGTTAAAGGAGGCCTCCGCCCCGGTCAAGAGACTATGTCAAGACTGTATCATGTGCATCAAAAGAAAAAGTAAACCAGAAATGGACTCAGGACACAAAATAAAATTGACACGAGTAAACACTGCATTTGACTACCCTTCAGCTGCCACTTAGAGGCAGAGTTAGGAGAGTCAAGCTGAGGGCAGATGACAGAGTCCATGCAGCCTGCTGGAGCCTGGCTGGTCATCAGGATCTGCAAGGACCGCTTCTCCTGGCGAGGCAGCGCATAGCCTCTGCGCCCTGAACCTGGGCTGCGGCACAGTGCCCCAAAGGAGTCTTGGCCATGGCCCCACAGATCCTGGCCTGGCTCAGGAGCATGCAGAAGCCGAGCATGTGAGGCAAGAGCTTGTATCAGCAGGAACCACACGAAGAAGCCATTATCCAGGGGAGTGACATGATATATTGTAACTGCTCCCACCATGTCAATAGTCATCGTTTTAATGGATCTGTTAGAATTTCTCCCACTTGAAGTTAAAATGACTCCCATTTCAATGAAAATAGGAGAGTCTTCATTCATAGGATCACAATTCACCCAAAGCAGCTGCCAGACACAAGAACGAGAGAGGTGCCAGGCATGCACATAGCTGATTTTGTCTCTCCAGGCAATTCTTCCCTTTTTTAATTTGTCTCCTCTTAAAAGAAAGAGATGAGCAAGTTACAAATATAATTACTCTATTTCTGAACAAGCGATAACACAGGCCATGAACGCACAGAGAGGAATGCACGCTTACCTCTGGCTCTGGCTGTGAGGTTTGTTCATCTTCAGTGGAGTTTGGTAAAATTGCCCAGGTTATGTTGGCACTGGCTGATGGCAAAGAGCCAAGTGTCCCATTTTTCAGCTGCTCTGTGGAATGTGACTTGGGCCCGTGCCATCCCAGGATGTTTTCTGAAATAAAGACCTAGAATGATGCCAAGTATTTTCCAAATTAAACATTTATAGCTCATGAAATATTCGTACTCACTGTAGGAAGAGTTGAACTTGGGAGTGATTTATTTATTTTTGAGACAGAGTCTCGCTCTGTCATCCAGGCTGGAGTGAAAAGGGCACGGCGGGCTTATTATGAATGAAGTACCAAGAGCAGGTTCTGACCGTCTGTTTATGAGCTAGTTTCTGTATAATATCAAGCCCAGAATTATCACAGGCTGTTTCACTTCCCAACAGGGGACAAAAACAATTGCTATTTACCAAAGTCAAATAAGGGCATTTCTCTTGTGTTTTTTGTTTTTTTTTTTTGTTGTTGTTGTTGTTGTTTTTGTTGGTAACTTTTAAAAATATTTCTAAATACTTACAATAAAAAGTCAGATTCTGCTGGGCCCAGTGGCTCACACCTGTAATCCCAGCATTTGGGAGGCTGAGGCGGGCGGATCATGAGGTCAGGAGATCAAGACCATCCTGGCCAACATGGTGGAATTCCATCTCTACTAAAATACAAAAATTTAGCTGGGCATAGTGGTGCACACCTGTAATCCCACTTAATTGGGAGGCTGAGGCAGGGGAATTGCTTGAATCCAGGAGGCAGAGGTTGCAGTGAGCCGAGATCATGCCACTGCACTCCAGCCTGGTGACAGAGCAAGACTTCATCTCAAAAAAAAAAAAAAAAAAAAGTCAGTCTATCAAAAATAGGCTGCTCAAAATGTGGTTTGAATTCCAAGTGACACAATGGCCATGGCTCAGAAAAGATGCCTGCAGTGTGAGCACACGATGCCACCCCTACCCTCAGATGTGGCTTGGTGTGGCGGATGTCAGGAAGCCCTATCACCAAGGACACAGGTACTCATTCCATTCTAGCAAGAAACACTTTCACAAATACCAATCTGGCAAACTAAAAACCATTTTTTCAATCCTCCACCAATTCCTGGGGGGCGGGGGAGACTTTAATATATTTTTTAAAGGTCATATATTATTATAGAATATTTTAAACACCTGCTAATAGAAACAGGAGTAACCAGAGGTGGATTTCTTTACCCCATAGCAATTCTACCACTAGAATAAATAGGACTCAGTTGGGCACAGTGGCTCATGCCGGTAATCCCAGCACTTTGGGAGGCTGAGGAAGGAGGATCGCTTGAGCCTAGGAGTTGGAGATCAACCCAAGCAAAAAGGCAAAACCCTAGATCTACAAAAAATATAAAAATTAACCAGTAGTCTCAGCTGCTCAGGAAGCTGGGGTGGGAGGATCCATTGAGCCCAGGAGGTCAGGGCTGCAGTGAGCTGAAGTCATGCCACTGCACTCCAGTCTGGGTGACAATATGAAACCTCTCCAAAACAGGTAACAGAAAATGATAAGTCTCAAGCTCAGCTGACTGACACCCTGGAGATTCTGTTCTAAGTCTAAGAGCAAGAATAAATGATAAAGAAAAATCAGCCTAAAGTAGAGAAAGACTCATGGACTAAAATTCAACATTTCAGGGTCTCAGATGCTCCATCCATAAAGCAATACTATGTGTCAGCCCTTTCTTTAGAATTACTCAAAGCAAAGTCTACAGGTATTCCAAACTTTCCTGAGGTATTCCCAGGGGAATCTTGTTGACAGAGGCAGATGAAGAGGCTGTGTCTGTGCGGTGCTTATAGGCATGTGTGTTGCTGTGTGCAGTATTATCCAACGCAAGTGTATTTTTATGCAAAAATCTTTATTTTTTCATGTCAAGTGTTAGGTCACATAACTCTGCTGTTAAAAGCCTCAAGTGGGCCAGTCACGGTGGCTTACACCTGTAATTCCAGCACTTAGGAAGGGCAAGGCAGATGAGTCGCTTGAGCCCAGGAGCGTGAGACTGGCCTGGGCAACATGGCAAAACCTTGTCTCTACGGAAAATACAAAAATTAGCTGGGCAGGATGACATGCACCTATAGCCCCAGCTGTTCGAGAGGCTAAAGAGGTAGGACTGATTGAGACCAGGAGGTCGAGGCTACAGTGAGCCATGATTGCACCACTGTCCTCCAGCCTGTGTGACAATGTGAGACCCTGCTTCAAAATAAATAAATTAACAAAGGCCCCAAGTGGCTTCTCATTGCAATTGGAACAAAATCTAAGCTGCCTGGCTTTGTTCTATGGCCTGTCCAGCCTCATTTTGTTCTGTTCTCCCCGTTGCTCAGTATACGTAAGTCACATCAGTATTTTTTCCATTTCTCAAATGAGCCAAGTTCAAGACAGTGTTAGAATGTTTGTGCATGCTGTTCCTTCTTCCCAGAGGGCTGGTCCTCTGGTCCTTCTACATCGGGGAGGAGGTCTCTTGTGTAGATACGGGAGTCAGCTAAAATATCGCTTGCTCAGAGAGGCCTTCTGGGACCTCCCTGGCCAAAATAGTACCCGAAAGGCACTGTCTGTCATACCACCATTTGCCATGTTCGGACCTGGCACTAACTGAATTCATTAGCTCAGTCATTTACTTATCTACTGTCTTTCCTCGCTGGAATGTCGGCTCCTTGAGGACAAGAACAATACGGCCCTTGCTCACAGCTGTGTCCCCAGAACCTCAAACATGGTCTAGCAAAGACTGCACACTCAGTATGAATGTGCTGAATAAATCAGAGACAGAAAACATTAAGAAGAGTGCATATCACAGCCTCCTAAAAATTAAAAAATTTTAAAATGGCCAAAAGAAAGCGAATAGAATGGTGGTTGCCAGGGGCTGGGGAGTGGATGGGAGGGAATGGGGTTAGTGTTTGAGCTCCAGTTTTGCAAGATGACAAGAGCTTTGGAGGCTGGTTGTACAACAATGTGAATGTAAGTAGCACTACTGAGATGTACAAATAAAAATGATCAAGAGGGTGCATTGTACGTTATGTGTATATAACTCTAATTTTTTTTAATGGCAAAAAAAGCATCCATATAGCAGCACTTCATGTCAGTTTTCAAAAGGCAAAAACTCATAACACTAAAAGCAAAGGCTAAAGATGCACTAACACCAGAACTTGAGAGAAATGTCCACAAATAATAAAGCAGATGGAGCTGCACTAAGAAAACCTACCCCGGATTCAAGACACTAGAATCTGCTCTAAGAGACATGGACAGATAGCTCTTGCCTTTCCTGCTGACCAATTCCTGCCTCAGAAAACTTCAAATTGGATTCAGATCTAAAACACAAAGCAGTTGTTCCATAAATATAGGAGTACTATTTTAAAAAAAATTATTACACAAGCAGTAAACATCCTGTAGAACAGTTAGGAAATCTTTTAAAAGACAAAGAAGTTTGGGCAACATAGTGAGACCCTGTATCAACAAAAAATTAACAAACTAGCCAGGCATGGCGGTACATGCCTGTAGTCCCAGCTACTTGGAAAGCTGAGCTGGGAAGATCACATGAGCCCAGGAGTTTGAGGCTGCAGTAAGCCATGATCACCCCGCTGCACTCCTGCCTCGGCAACACACTAAGACCCTGTCTTTAAACAAACACTAGGGGAAAGAAGAGAGATCTGCTTGCCTAGGCAATCAGGACAATGTTCCTGCCATTCCTCCCATACCTCAATTCTGTCTCTCCCTTCCCTCTATCCCAACATT